CCCCATGAGATGAGTCATTAGCCTAGCTGGTCTTTTGTATGTTAGACTCCTCAGTCAGGAAAACCAGATAAAAACTGTTTTGTAATGTGAAAAGTTGAGTGACACATTTCTTTACACCCCCCCCCCCCCCCTCTTTTTTTTTTTTTTTTTTTTTTTTTCCCCCCCCCCCCCCCCTTTTTTTTTTTTCTAAGCGTTAAATGACGAGTCTTTGTTACGTTGAGGGAGAGGAAATCATTTGTAGACAAACAGCCAAGTCACAGAAAAAGGGTTGCACATAGACAAAAAGAGTGAACTTTAATTTGTGTTTTTTCTTCTTTTTTTTATTTTGATGTAAATTTACACTATTTATAAAATGCATATTTATTGCTTGAAAATATTTGTTGATGGAATGCTGTAATTTTTTTTCCAGAGTACCTGCCATTAAATTTGAAGGCGCCTTGTGATTTTAAGCTCGGCCCCTCATACGTTTTCTATATAAATAAAACTGCTTAGTAAGCGTTGTACAGAGACCTCGAGATGGGTTTATTGTTTGAAGGATGTTTTATGCGTCAATAAACAAAAACTGTCTTTATTTACATCTGCAGCTCGGCCAGTTATTCACAAGTAGTACTTTTCTATTTTTATTAAGTCAGATTCAGCTGCTCTGGGTTTCAGTTTTAGATCTGATTCATTAGTGTTGAGGAAACGACATCAGGTGGAAAAAATGTCAATTAAAACAAAATGAAGAAAGTTGAAATAATCCCAGTGAAACAGGCCACAACAACAGAATCATAATCAAAGGAAAGAAACGGTAAGTTTGATTAAAAATGCACTGAATTCGGTATGAGAGTGACGTACATGAGAGTGACGTATATGAGAGTAACGTATATGAAAAGTGACATGAGAAGTGGTGTATATGAGAAATAACATGAAAGTGACGTATATGAAAGTAACGTATGAGAGAAGTGACTCAAGGATCAACTGATTAGAGTTGGGTGGCTAAAGGTCTAAAGTCAAGGTCAGTGAGACCTCACAAATAAACAGATAAACAGGGCTGTAACCTGGAACTAGTCCGAGTGGAGGAGGGATACAACCACGAGGAGGTGACGCTAGTTCGTCTTATGTTTTGTTCTAATTTCATAAACACAAACATTCGTTATAAACGAGTCTTTGTTTAAATGTTTATTTTAGTTAAAAAATAGAAAAAATTCTACAGTAATTGCAACAAATGTAAAAGTATCGTACTAAATCAGTACTTTCTCTTCCTCTTTCCTGACTGACTGACTGACTGACTGTTTCCTGTGTCACTGGCTGCCTCTGGACCTCGTCTGGAATTCCTCAGTTCCTCTTCTTGACGTTTCAGACAGGAAGTGATTTGGTTTCCTTTTTATAGCTTCTCGTGCTTTTGTAGCATCAGTTAGCTTCATTTTAGCTGCTCAGTCGGCTGCTGCTGCAGGAGTTTCACCACAAGAGTCGGACAGTGACCAGCTCCAGGTCACGACCTGTGTACAGGTGGGTCACGACCTTTTCCATCAAGGTCGAGGAGAAGTTTTTAGGAAAGGAGATTATTTCGATTTTTTGAGAGATTTTTTTTCTCTCTCTCTCTCTCTCTCTCTCTCTCTCTCTCAAAATCAAATTCTTTTCAAATTCAAATAAGCTTTATTGGTATGACAGATCAGAAACCTTTATTGCCAAAGCAGTACAGAAAATTATGAACAATGACAGATGATTGATTAATGATTATACAATAATATGCAAATATTAACAATAGTATTAAATACAATATGATAAAAGGTAAAATGTAATCACACAGAAACATGTACCACAGAGCTTCTTTCTAACATATTTCACAGCTACAACTCTACATTGGCTTTTCTCCCCACAGATATAGGACATATAGTTCTACAAACATAGGACAGTTTGTGAAGATGGGGGAGGTGGATAAACTCTCTCTCTCTCTCTCTCTCTCTCTTCTCAGGGAACTGATTGGTAGATCTGGAACTCCTGTGGCGCCCCCCACTGATCCAGGATCTGTAAGTCCCGTCTGAAAACCAACCACTCGCTCTCCGCTCCACATCACGCTCTCCTGATTTCACTGATTTCCTCACCTCACACTCTGGTTTGATAAAAACATATTCTTTATTAATCCTGAATGAATCCCATAGAATCCAGGTCACAGCAGAGGTTTGATAGAAAATCTCTCTCAAAAGGAGGAACAGACACTGATTGATCGTTTCTGATCGATCTGTGAGCTGCATGTGTTCAAAATGACATTTATATAAACTGATCAGCAAGAATGATCCGATTTTAAAAAGGCGCCAAACGAGCAGAACTTTCATGTTTCCCAGAGGATGAACTGGATTTCTACATTATTACAGGTCCAATACAAACGTTTGGATCTTTATTTACAACGACAGATCTGAGTTAAAGAATCTGCGTCGACGCTGCGTGGCGAACACAGAGAGGCTCTGGCAAAGTTGGCGGCCGCCATTTGTCCATCTCAGCTGGTCGTCTCATCCACAGCGGGCTGCCGGGAAAACTGCAACTTTGCCAAGTGGATCACCAGGAGAACCGTGAACGCTGAGCTTATATGACACTTTCTCCTGTGGCAGTAGATAGTAAATGTGCGACGCCGAAGTCCAGGTCCGACATGATGCGAGTTTTGTGTTTGAATGTGGCCAATAAATGTGGGAAATGAAAGGCGTGCTGCTTTGGATCTGAACCAGCAGCTAATGGAGGAACAGTTCTGGGCGACTGAGCGAGTGAGAACGATGCAGATGGTAGAAACGTTCTCCAAGCAGAGACACGTGCTCAGCGGTCACTTGAGATTTAAACAGGATTTTGCAGCCTGTTATGTGAAGGAGTTAATAATAGCTGCAACACAGTGTTGAAATGGATTGATGTGCAACTGTTAAAAACATGTTTCACATTCAAAGATAAGACACTGTGTGATTTCTTCTTCGCTGGTGTCCGTGCAGATCGTCCAGGGGCGCCTGTTATCTCCCTGCAAACTGAGCCCCGTGCTCAGGCCAGATCCGGCCTGACCCCCCCGCACCATCACAAAGAAACACAGCCTCATTAAATGTCCCCGCGGCGCCTCCAGCGGACCGGCTGCAGCAGGGAACTGGTTTCATCTGAATGAAGTCGACGAGCTCAGACGAAGGGAAGAAATCTGAACAAAGACGCTGTGAGGAATCAGAAGCTTGTCTGATGTTTTTTGTCTGTAATCAGCACAAGGTTTGATCTGCCCCCCCCCCCCAGTAGGTTGTGGTGTGTGGTAATTAAACTCAGTTTTTGGCTGCACAGCCTCCAGGGACTGAGCCGGTTTACAGGAGATGAGAAGAGGAACTCTGACAGTCGTCGGTTTGAAGAAGAGGAACTGAAACTGTTTTCTTCCTCCATGAATGAATGGATGGATGAAAATGATGCAACGAGCCTGATGAATGATTCAGTGATTGTGACTGATTTCATCTGTTCAGCCATCAGGTTGGTCCAGACTCAGTCAGGGCTGGATGTGATGTAGACCTGGTCCTGGATGTGAAGGAGGGTCACAGTAATACCCATCGTGAAATCTGATTGGTTACCGAAAACAACTGAAGTCAGCTGATTACAGGAAGTGAGGCGAGAGAGAGAAACGTGATGGAAAGAAAAAAAATCCTGATTGAGCTTTATTTGAATCTGTTGCCATGGATACGTTGTTCAGATGTTCATGGTTCCCAGAGGAGGAATCTTAACCACTTCGATCATCCTCTGATTTGTCCTCTAGCGCCACCATGTGGAGGCTGCGCCACATTAACACTGTTAGCATTAGCACTTTTATTTCTAATGAATAACCTACAAACATTTAAAGTAACGACAACACACAGTCTTTTGTTTCCACACACACACACACACTCACACACACACTCACACACACACACACACACTCATACTCACACTCATACACACACACTCACACACACACACTCACACACTCACACACACACACACATACTCACACTCATACACACACACTCACACACACTTACACTCACACACACACACACACACTCACACACACACACTCACACACACACACTCACACACACTTACACACACACACACACACACACACACTCACACACTCTCACACACACACACACTCACACACTCTCACACACACACACACACACTCACATACACACTCACACACACACACTCACTCACACACTCTCACACACACACACACACACACACACACACACACACACACACTCACACACACACACTCACTTACACACACACACACACTTGTGTTTGAGTTTTCTAAATTAAATTCACACTTTCTGTTTAACATTCTTTTTACTTGCTTAAATGATGTTTTATCTTTTGTTGTTGTTGCTACGTGGATCCAGCCGTCCTCTCTCTCTCTCTCACTATAATAAAGCCAGAAAACATGACTTAAAAGAGCAGCTAATATTAGCACGCTAACATAAACTAAGTTGATGAAACTTTATACCTGCTGTACCTGAGCACAGCCTCACAGGGGCGCCGCTGATGGTCGTCTAGAAACAGCTGTAAATGTTATTACATGAACTGTCTTTTTCCCATGTTCCCTCAGGCTGAAACACACACTCGCTTCCAGCGGTACAGGACGTCTGTTCGTGTCTTTTAATACAAACTGCAGAGGTTATTTTAACAGCTCTATCAGCGCCCTGCAGTTCTTTACATCCCACCTCTCTTTATGTTCCTAATGCTCTGACATAATGACGATGACTCAGTGTGCTCGGTGCCGATTGGTCCCTAATCACTGCTAATACTCCGGATATAACCCACTTTATGTAACAGCACAGCTCGTCATACCGGGGATACAACCAGAAAGTATGAGTGAAAGACATTTATATAAAGTCACAAATGAAATGAAACACTGATGAACTAATTATAGTGAGCAAAGAAAATTACCTTCTCATTTACCTCTAACCGCACAGACCAGGTTTAGGTTCCTTTGTCCAGGTTTAGAGACGTCACTTCTCACACACACTTGTCACAAAGTGCTTCACAATCAAATCAAATCAAATCAAATCAAATCAAATCAAATCAAGGAATTAAAATCAAAATAGGTCAAATAAATGCAAAAGGTAAAAACACCAGATAAAATACACAACAGTGAAAACAGATACAGACACTGGTTAAAACATAAAACACAACATACACTGACATTAAAGAAGAAGGAGTCAGCAGCCATGTCGCTGCTGCTGCTGGGAGGCTGCTATCAGCTAAATGCTAATGTCAGCATGCTAACAGCATGTATCATATTCGCCATGTCGGGACGCCTCGGTGGCTCACCTGGCAGTGTGTACCATCAAAGCTCAGTCCTGTCGCCCTTTGCTGCATCTCATCCTCCCTCTCTCCCTCTCTCACTGCATCTATAATACAGGCTTAAAAAAGCCTGAAAAAATAACATTAAAAGAAAATATTCGCCATGTTCACAGTCGCAGGTTAGCGCGTTAGCATTTGCTGATTAGCGATAAACAAAAATCAACTGAGGCTGATGAGAATGTCGTTAGTTTTGTGTGTATTTAGTCATAAACCGAAGTACTGGACAACAAGAAAAATGTGACCTGATGATGGTGCTCGATGAAATCATCATCATCATCATCATCAACCTTTGTTTAATTATTTTCTCTGCAATAAAAAGAGGTGACACTCGTTTTCAATGATGCTGAGATTATATGAGCAGAAAGAAAACAAACAAAAATCAATTCCAGTTACATCCAAAAACATTAAGATTTAAAAGATTTAAAAGTGTCTTTCTAAACTGTCCGAGTGTTTTCAGGGAAAATTTAAAGTGCTGTAGCCTCCGTGAGTCTGGAGCACAAGATCTAAAAGCAGATTTTCCAAGTTGTGAATTGACCCGAGGAACAAACGTGATCCGGTGCTGAGAGCGGGTTTGATCAGTATCAGATGTATTAGAGCGACAGGAGGTGATTGGTTGTTTTTAAACCTGCGCACAGAGAAGCTGCCACATGTTTCTGACTCCAGCTGTTCTCAGTGATCGCTCCATCACTTTAAAGGCCTGTCAGCTGTAGAACAGACAGGAAATCACTCTCCTTTTTTTAATTTTATTTCTGCTCAAACTCTAAATCTAAAGCCTTAATCAGGTTTAAATATTTAATTTATTACTTTAACACAAGATTCATTTTTCCTTTCGTCCCTCTGCTGCTGTGTTGTTTGTTGTTGTCTTTTCACTGACTTGAGGAAATATCTGTCGCTGTCTGATTCTCATATGTTGAGTTGGCTTTTTAATGTGGAGACCTTTATTTTGGTGAGATTTATAGCAGGTGCTCGTCAGCTGAGACAGAGGACGCTGTGTCCCCAGTAATAACGACTGAGGGACGTGTACATGATGTTTGCTCATGTAGCCGTCAGGGTTCCTGTTACGTGTTCTGTACATCTGAATGTGTGACACTCAGATCTTATATTTACCTGTGAAGGTCTCTGCAACTTTGTTTTGAAAAGTGCTATAAAAACCAAACTGTATTTAAATGAGTAATATTTATCTCCACATGTGTAAAGTGAGTTTTCCATTAAAGCTATTAATGCACCTCACCTGTCAGTCAACCCAGCAGGAGTGAGGTGTTTAGTCTGACACCATGCTCCGCCCCCCCTGAGCACCTGACGGCAGGATCTTGTTTTTTCCAGCTCAGTTTGTCGCTGCTGTTCATTTGTATTCAGATATCGATGCAGACTCTTCTATAAACTTGTTTTGCTTCTTTGTTCATTCAGTTTCTCCACAAAGCTGAGTTTTTTGTTTTGTTTTTCTTTCAGCAAAACAATGAAATGATCCAACAAACAGGAGCTGATAGAATTTATTCCACTGTGCAACTGACCGACTGTTTAAAACACATCAGTGCCTCACACTGTTGCACCGGGCGACCATCACCATGGACAATGGGCTGCAGTTCATTTTGCACCATAATACTGCTGGAAATTCTCAGTGAAAAATATTCCCTGGTTACATTAAAGCTCCATGTTTCTTCTTCTTCTGTGTTTTATTTGAAGTGTTGATCCATCAGAAGATATAAAAACCATCTCAGTGTAGTTTTACATCTCCTCTCTCAGGCTTCTCTCTGGAGCTCTAGTAACAACAGGTCGGTGAGCCAATCAGAAGAGAGGAGGCTCTGAGCCTCTCTTCTGATTGGCTGACTGTTTTCTGACTGATCCAATAAAAATAAAGCAGATTTCAGGTAAAAACACTCAGAGAAACCAAATCCTGCAAGGTTTGGATGGTGGGTCCAGGTGGGCGGGGCTTGGTGACTGCTTTGTTGTGACATCACAAAGTTCCAGAAGTCCTGACGGCTGGTTTTAAGGCTCAGTTTCTGAATACAGGCTGTGTGCATTTCTCTGTGGACTGAGGCTTTGATACTTTCACAGTATTAATATAGAAGCTAGAGCTGATCTATAATCACACTACACATGGACACAGACCTTTACACTGGAGGGGCTTTAACATTTAAATAATTATAATTATATTATTACAGGTCCAGTCCAAAGACTGTCAGGTCAGTGGGGGAGGTGTGTCTCTCAGCCTTAAGTGGGTAAGAAGCTGAATTAGTCAATAAATGCTAACACACCTCTCCATACCTGTGTCAGGTGTTTCAACCTCTGGATACAGATGTTTTAGCTCCCTGTCTGTCGGATGAACATGGTGCAGAAGAACTGAAACATCTGGCGGAAGCAGGTGAGGACTGAGTTGATGTGACGACCTCTCACACTGGCTGTGAAATGCATGAATAATAATCTTAAAAATAAAAACCTAAAAGGAGACTTTTTGCTCTTTATGATGTCAGAGTCTTTTAACAATGTCTCCTTCACCTGAACCTTTTCTCAAAGCTTCAGATGCGGTGTGATGGCGGACGTTCATTGTGCTCCTGTAAAAAACAAAAGGAGTCATAAGTGTGGGATCATTCATCTGCAGCGGGTCTGCAGGCTCTGTGCTTGACAGTTATTTCATTATCACAACCACAGGTGGCTGCGTTGGACCGATGGACTGACAGCCACTTCAATCACAACACCTTTAATTTATTCATGATCCGCCTGAATTTCAATTGTTTTTTTAAACCGTGCTGGCAGGCTGCGTTTTTTCCTCTTTCCACTTACCTTCAAAAGTGAGAACAGGGAGGTGGTTGACATTTTAGAAAATATCAAAGCCAGAAATGGAGGCTTTTTATTTGTGATATGAGACACAGCCATTTCCTTACAGTAAAACACAGTTGGACACATCACTTGTTTTTAATCTTTTGCTTTTTACGTATGATTGTAGATTGATTGTCATTCAGGAAATACTTATTCTTTAATCATCAGCTCATCATCAGGTTCCTCACTTGATCACAGACCAACATCCTGCTGGTCTGTAGGGGTTTCAGAGGACTCCCATCATCAATGAAGAGTCTCACAGCAAAAATCCCCCCCAGTGAAGACTTTGGTTGCACCTGAAACTGCCCCACAGGAACTAAACGTTGCCCCTGGTTAAGTAGTTAGTGGTTAAGTTTAGTTCCCGAGTTCTTCAAGAGGTTTCTGGTTCTATGGTGGAAACACTTGATCCACATTATCAACAATCACCGTCCTCATTTCCTGTCTCCACTGTGACTCTGAGAAAAGCAAGAACTGCTAATAAATATACTGAACACTATAAATACAACAAAGCAAAGATTATCACCAATGTTTTAACATGAGAGACTCAAGATCAGATAGCAGATTGGCTCGAGGGACGCGAGGGAGAAGGATCATTGGTCCGATGTGGTGACATCACAGAGATGAGTTTTGATAGCGTGGGGAAATGGAAGTCACGGAGTGGAGAGTGGAGAGAAAATAAAATTCCCAGGAAGAAGAGCGAGGGAAAATTATATTTATTATTAAACTATGAGCAAAGCTTCGTAAGAAGAAGTGAGTCAGAGTCGGAGGGAGAAAGTGAGGAAGATGAAGAGGAAGAGTTTAGGTAGGAAGAAGACATTTCTATGTAAAGGGCGAACAGTGGTTGTTATTTGTAGGATAAATTATTTAAAGGTCTTCTCCTCCCTGATGATAAATAACAAAGGATTTGGTTTTTCAAAGAACAAAAGTTCAATTACCTCGTTAAACTTTCTTAAAGTGACATCTACTCCTTCTCCCTCATTTGAATTCATAATCTATGAATAGACAAATATTTTCCATTTCAGAAATGTAACTACTGGACACAAGATGTCTCCTGTGCAACTGGAAAGTCCATTTTCAGTGTTTGTGGCTTCAAGTTTCTTCATCACTTCAACAACTCTGCACCTTCATCATTCAGCACAGTGAAGGTCAAACATCCCAAAATAAAAGCTGTTTCTGAGAGGAAGAGGAAGCTCAGTGTGCTCAGGTTTCACATGTACATGACTGTGTCTGTGTGGAATTAAAACAAAGAGGAGATTGATTGTGTGTCTTGTTCATAGCGTGCGGTTATAAAGTGTGTGATGCATGAAAACAACAACACCAACACAACCTCCGTCTGCTCCTCACACACACATGAAGAGAAGGAGTTTCCGTTCACAGACACAGAAACAAGAACCAGGGAAACCTGGAGCCAGCAGATGTCACTGTAGTTATGAAAGAGATGGATGCTAACTTATATCTGTAACACACACACACACACACACACACACACACACACACACACACACACACACACACACACACACTATTAAAGGGGGGATCAAAGCTGCTTCTAAATCCTGAAGGTGTATTCCAGATGTCTTAGTCACTCGTGACTCAGCTTGTATTTGTTCCACTCCTATTTGTTTTTTACTCTTAACCCGAGTGACTCACCGTTGGGTCGACAGAGAAAACATATGCAAGTGTTTTAGAACAGGAAATGGATGTACAGAAGGGCAAAAACTATATTTCTTGGACTGTGCGGCTCGACTGCTTTCAGCGGCCAAGAGGAAATCATAGTCATTTGTGGAAGTGCTGGGTTTGTGAGGAATGTGTCTGAGAGGAGCGCAGGCTGCCATTAATGCAGAAAGCCAAGTATCTGAAGGCTGACAGGGCAATGACAGACCGGTTACCACGGTTTCTTAACGTCAATGCCACCCAAAGGTCCGACAGACGGCAGTGTTTTTCTTTATTTTTCTCTTTGTTGATTCGTATAAATGAAACAGGCACATTTGCAACGTAGAATAGTTTCATATAATTTAATTGAAATTGCATTATCATCATGAGCTTGGTTATTTATCATAGAGAAAGTCAATCAGTCAAAGTCATGTCACAAGTTTAATCAACTAAAAAAGGGAAAGTAGCCAAATAAATTGAAATATATTCTGACTGCTGAGAGAAGAAATTAACAAACATCCTATATACATAAATGATATAAAAATAATGAATAAAAAATTTAAAAAGGTAAGATGGGAACAGTATGAACTTCATCCTAGATACAGAGGAGAGAAGTAAAGTACATTTATTCAATACTACTTCTTACAAAATATCATAGCACGGTAACACAAAAAAAGTAACAGTATAGTAAGGCATAAAGATGTCATAGTTTAGTAAGGCAAAAAAACATGATAAAATGTCATAGTACATTAAGGCCTAAAAATGACAGAGTATAGTAAGTCATAAAAGTAGGAAAAAACGTCATGGTATAGTAAGTCATGAAATGTCATAGTATAGTAAGGCATAAAAATATGAAAAAATGTCATAGTATAATAAAGCATAAAAATGGGAAAATATGTCATAGGCATAAAATGTCATAGTATAGTAAGGCATAAAAACATGAAAAAACTTCATATTACATTATGGAATAAAATGTTATAGTTTAGTAAGGCATAAAAACATGATAAATTGTCATAGTATATTAAGGCATAAAATATCATAGTATAGTAAGGCATAATAACGGGAAAAAACATCATAGTATAGTAAGTCATAAATACATGAATAAACGTCATAGCGTAGTAAGTCATGAAAAAAGGAAAAAACCTCATAGTACATTAAGGCATAAAATGTCGTAGTATATTAAGGCATAAAAACAACATAGTATAGTAAGGCATAAAATGTCATAGTTTAGTAAGTCATAAAATGACAGTAAATTAAGGCATAAAATGTCATAGTATTGTGGAGCATAAAAACATGAAAAAACGTCATAGTATAGTAAGTCATGAAAACATGAACAAATCTCATAGTACAGTAAGGCATAAAAACGACATATTTTAGTAAAGAATAAAAACATGAAAAAACGTCATAGTAAAATAAGTCATAAAATGCCATAGTATAGTAAGCCATAAAAACATGAAAAAATGTCATAGTATAGTAAGCCATAAAAACATGAAAAAATGTCATAGTTTAGTAAGGCATAAAATTTCATAGTATAGTAAGGTATAAAAAAATGAAAAAATGTCATACTATAGTAAGCCATAAAAACATGAAAAAATGTCATAGTATAGTAAGCCATAAGAACATGAAAAAATGTCATAGTTTAGTAAGGCATAAAATTTCATAGTATAGTAAGCCATAAAAACATGAAAAAATGTCATAGTTTAGTAAGCCATAAAAACATGAAAAAATGTCATAGTTTAGTAAGGCATAAAATTTCATAGTATAGTAAGGTATAAAAAAATGAAAAAATGTCATACTATAGTAAGGCATAAAAACATGAAAAAATGTCATAGTATAGTAAGCCATAAAAACATGAAAAAATGTCATAGTATAGTAAGGCATAAAAACATGAAAAAATGTCATAGTATAGTAAGCCATAAAAACATGAAAAAATGTCATAGTATAGTAAGCCATAAGAACATGAAAAAATGTCATAGTATAGTAAGGCATAAAATTTCATAGTATAGTAAGGCATAAAAATGTCATAGTATAGTAAGTCATAAAAACATGAAAAAATGTCATAGTACATTAAGGCATAAAATGTCATAGTTTAGTAAAGCATAAAAACATGATAAATTGTCATAGTACAGTAAG